ATATAGAAGGGTATTATTTTGAAAAGACGTCTCACATGGTTGTAGGTATAAATTTTAATCCTTGTCTCATATCTTAAGTCGTTATAAATTGAGATTATAGTTTGAATCTAAGTAGCTTAACTTATATTTTTATGATTTGTTACCCTTTAATACTTTCACAAGGAAAAGAAAACTTACAGAAAAAGGGTTTTTTCTATAATTTTGCATAATTCTAGAAATGCTGCGATACTTTTTCAATTTTCATGTTATCTTTAGGAATAATATTGATTTTAATCTAGGATAAGTACTTGATTTGAAGTCTCGTGCAGTTTTTCTTTCCCAATAAATTTAGTTTATTTCCATTTCTTACTTCATTTTGATCTTGATTTTATGAAAATAAATTAATAGAAAGAAACAACGAACAAAAAATGAAGGACCTGTTTGGCCATAAATTTTGCCAAAATAAACTTGGGTTTTATTTGAAAACACATGTTTGGTCATAGATTTTGCCTACATTTTGGCCAAATTCCAAAATATCATTATTATATTTTTTAAAAATTACCCCAAATTTTTGTATTTTATAAAAGAGCCCACCATTTATTATTTTGTAACGATGTTGCTTCGTCTTCTCGGTTATATAATAGTGTATCATGTATTTCATTATTATCCCAAAAAATGCCAAGTTGCGGTAAGCTATACAGAAAATGAGACATTATTATATGGCGTTTATGCTTACTTTTACAGGGACATTGGACAAAACAGGAAATAAAACAAATATAGAATTTTTGCAGGGACATGAAGTCTTTCCTTTTCAAGCTATACCAAAAAGCATCAATTTCTGTCTTACGGGAGCGAATTATAATTGCAGTGAATATGTTTCTGACACTTGGATATCAATTTTACTGCACTGCACTACTACCAGTAGAAGATACTCCAAACTGGTCAAAAGAATTAACAGGGATTCTCTAAGGTATCATTGCAGAATTTGCCAATTCTTGTTTAAACTTCAGCTCAATTGTGCTTTTACCAATCAGTGCCAACTTTATCTCATGGCTGGTTTTTGTTTATTGTTTTGCTCTTCTTTTCTTTTCTTTTTATATTTAGATTTCTGGATGTTTTGTTTAATTAAGTTATACTTCAGTTAGGACCTATAATAAGAACTTAATGAATCAATGCCTAATAATTAAGTCTTTCCAGATTGGAGATTTAATTTAATTTTTTTGATACAGTATATAAATATACATAATGTCATGCGAGAATTTTATGACAGTTAAGTGATGCGATGATNTTGCAATATATGCTCCAACGTATTTTGAATCAACAAATTTTTAACCAATAATATATTTTTGCGTGTTCCAGTGATGATCAACCCAATGACATGTAATATCTAAATAATCATTGCCATTAGGACTACGACATATATCAGATGTGATAGACACTTTACAATCTAGTGATAAAATACACAACATATATAATGGAGGATTTTTTTTTTTTTTGGTTCCTACCCGGTATTCGGTAACTGCATTGGAGTCCGACTATATTCGGATTCGTCCCGCGTAGGGCCTCATTCGGAGTGAAGCACTCCCTACCAAAGATTTTTCCATACCCAAGACTCGAACCCGAGACCTCTGGTTAAGGAAAGAGCAGTTCATCCACTGCACCACATCCTTTGGTGGTCTCATTCCCTTCTTAAGCTTGTACCACAATAAATATTCATTAGCTGAACAATTTTGACAGTCTGATTAAACATTACGACTCATGTTAAATACCTCAACGGTTTTGTAGTGTGGTCTAGAGAGAGTGTGATAATTCATAATTCATAATTCATGTCATATAACTTGGTGCTTAGCACATAATGAAGGAACTGAATGGCATTAAACTCATTTGATCTCTATGTTTTTTGGGTTTTCCATCCGGTATTCCATACTCGTTTTGGGGCTCGACTATCTGGATTAGTGTTAGGAAATTTTATTTTAAGAATAAACCACTCCATATCAAAGGCAACTCTATTCGATCTCTGCGTACTAATACTAGATTGATTTGAAGAAATAAATATAAGACAGGATTTGAATTTTTGGCCAAAATAATTACACAGATGAGGAATCAAAGATGATACTAGTAAATTTAATCATTCAAAAACAAAAGTCTAAAAGCTCCCCACCTTAGCAATGTTTTAATGAAAAAGCCTGCCTTTATGCACCATTTTCAGCTAGCAAACTGATCAAAGCTTAAAGAGGTAAAACTTAAAGTAGTCAGACTTGGTTAAAAGAGTACACATATACCCATATTATATAACTGGTGTTCAAGAGAAATTAAAAGATGAAGCTGAACCGAAAAACGAAATTAATTCCATTTAAAAAGCTGACATAAATTTGATAACACGTACATTTATTTATTTTTATAGATAATTTAAGAAATTTATTAGCTTTTTTCTTATGTAAAAAGACTATTACAGAAATCCATTTTGTTTATTTAAATGCTTTATTCTAACGTGTATGTTCACTTTTTGTTTATTTATTATCGAGTCTTGTTTGAATACATCAATAACTTTGTTCTTCCATTTTCACAAGTCGAGATTTATGTAAAAATAACTTGATTAGAATTTCATTGTCTTTAATTAAATAAAAAAATTTATAGCTAAAATAATGTCGTTCTAAATATTGTACAGATTTGACCCGAAAAAATAATCCAAAAAATTGGTGGACTTAAAAAGGTTAAAAAAGAAAAGAAAAGAAATATACATACTACGTGGACAAAAAATATAACGTGGCAACGCGCTTGTCACACTTCTATGGTCTGAGATTGTCTAGGGAGGGTCGAAGATAGTGAATGTCTTGTTCATCGGAAAAACATAGTCAAATTTAGGAGGTTCCCGATCTATTATCCCTATTTTAAATTGAATGAAGGAAATATAGTTGACCGAATATACATACACATTTTATAGTAATATTACACACTCAAACCATATATATATATATATATATATATATGCATGTAAATACTTCTTATGTCTCGTTTAACTAGTTATATATATCATGTTACTACTTATAATTTTTCAAGATTACCAATCAATATTCATTATAAGAAGTTATGCATAATTACATTTTAAACTCATTCTCTGTTATTCATAGATATAATTATAGTAAGACAATATCAATGTCATGCACCTAGTAGTACTGATTTGGATGTATTTGCAGCAAATTAAACCAAAACAAATGAATAGCTTGTCCCCTTGACAGTCTACGTACTCCAGCTGTGCAGCCCTATCAAAAGTTCTCTGCAAAACATTGTTTGTTTTCGTACAAACCTGCGAACAAAAACTTTTAGCGAACAAAACTTTTGCATTAATCTGGCTGCAAAACAAAGCACTCATATATCCCCTTTATCTTCGCTGCCGTCTTCCTCATTTTGCAGAATCCTTTGCCTTCACCACTTGGTGAGTTTTTTCTCTCCTTATTCAAATATTTTTCATGAACCATTTTTTTTTCTACTCATTTTATATATAGTGTATTGTTTGGTTTTCATATTTGGACTGTGTTTTTCTCAGGTCTCTAGTTTTATTCTCTCTTTCACTTTAGTGCTACGGTCAAGACTTGCATTGTTGGTCACTTTTCAAGAGATTCTGCTTCATATTTTGGATTGTGCTTTAGGGTTGAAATTTTTTCAAAACTTTCTCAGAACAAATGTTCTCTTTAATAGAAGAAAGTAATATTGTTCTTTTCTATCTCTCCGTCACGTTATAAATAGTACTTATCTTTCTTCAATCTGTTTAAGACTTGCTGCATTTTTTCTTTTTCCTTCTGTTTTTGGTGTTGAGCTTTTTGGTTTGTGGGGTTATGCATATGAGTTTTTTGTTTGCAGAAACTATTTGGTTGAAACCCTTTTGTTTTCCTTTGAAAAACTGGAAAAGTTCACGCTATCATTGAACTAGCTTTGCCTTAGTGGGCGTCCATTTAAATTTCTCTGACCAGTGATGCATTTATTTTTTCTGGAAAAAAAAGAGAAGAAAAATTAAACTGGAAAAAGAAGTTGAAAATATTTCAAGATTTTCTTAGAACAAATGCTTTCTCTACTATTATTGTATTGCTTTTCTTCAATTTTCCCACAATATTCTGCTTCACATCCTATTATTTCCCCTTTCTCTTCTAATATTCTTCTTGGTAGACATTGCATGTTACATTGCTTAATCATCTCCATGTATTTTCTGGTTGAATGCTTAGCTGTACTTAAGAAGTAATGGACGTAATTGAACTCTAATATCTGCATGCTTTGGCTTCTATAATATTTCTGTTCAAGTTGTTTGTCGCTGGCTGCTCAATATTCATTTCTTGCTTGTTAGCTTTAGTTATACTTGTCGTTGGTCTTCGACTGCTTTTTGTTTTATGATTATCACTACTACTTAATATGTGTAGTTTAACATTTGTAACATGTTGCCTATTATTTCTCAGGCCAGGTTATCGATTGATGTTCATTATAAGAAAAAATTGTCTATTATTATATCTTAAATAAGTTGAGTGCGCAAATAGAAACTCTTATGTAATCCATAGATATAATTATAGTAAGAGTAAATGAATGCCTCACTCAGCCGTGATTTGAGTGCATTTGCAATTAGCCAAAAGAAACGAAAGGACTTATCCCCTAATATCTACTCCTAACTGTGCAAAGCCCTCTCCAAAACTCTCTGCATTTCAACATTTAGCGCAAACTCAACATTGATCATCTCTGTACAAACCTTCCATTTTTAGCAACTTTCAAAAGTTTCGGCACTCAAACCAAAAGAAATGAATAGACTTGTCCTCTCCTAAGCTCTCATTGTAGTTTCTAGTGCAAAACAAGCATTCATCCAGTTTATACAAAACCATCCGTACTACTTTTGCATCCAAGCATTCTTGTCTAATTTTCTTATCTTCATTTTGGCATTTTTCAAGATAGAGCTGTAAAACTATTCTTGTTATCTTTCATTTTGAGAGTAATCCTTTTACTTTTATAACTAATCCGTTTATTTACTTTTGTAAGTCAGCATGGCGGAAGAACACGTTGATGAGGAGTTTAGTTTGAAAGATGCTGGTATACTCCTTCCGTACGTCCGAAACGAGGGCAACATGAGTGAGTAGTATATATGTATATTAAAAAGATAGATTCTATTATACTTATTTTATTGGTTTTCCTAACATGAGATTAGTTGACTTTGTTTTTAATTATTTTTAAGATGTGTGCTATGCATATACCACTGGAGAAGCCATAGCGGCTTTATTTGCTAAAGATAAAAATCAGCCACCGGTGGAACTTTCCATACAACAGATTGCTGATTTTCTGCCAAAGGATTTTGATTATAAAAATAGACGCAACAGAAGAGATGAAGTAGGGTGTTACTTTGGTTCACATATTCATGCTCTTGAATATGCATGCAACGTACTTTGGTTTGTGCACAGAGCTTGACTATCCCAAAAGAGGAAGTAGAATTGATAATGATATCCCTCCCGTCCCACATGATGTATATTTCTCTCTTTCTTAAAAACATTTTAGCGTCAAAATCATCTTTTTAAAATATGAAACTTACTTTGTTTCCTTTTCATTTTAATTTTTGGCTAATGCATGTTAGAAGGTGAGATACAGCTGAATTGCATACTTCAATCGTGTGCGTACTGAGGATATTCGTAGGCGCTTACAAAGCCTAAATGAGAGAATTTTTACGGAAGAAGCTATTAATGAAATACTAAGAAACAACCTATGGTTGGTGCAATTAGAATCTTTAAGAGTTTTCTGGACTTCAAGGGAAAGGTATCTATATTATGTATTCTTACATTTAATTGTGAAAGAATTTTTATTATTGTAAATACAACCATTATTCAGGTCTCCACAAATTTCCTTGTATTATATCTTTAATTATTTTTTATTTCAAGTTTGTTTGTAGGATGTATATATGGGACCCATTGCAGGTGATATAGACCAAAATGCAGCATATTCAATACTAGTAATTGGATATGGAGTTAAGAATGGGACAAAATATTTCCTAATTAAAAACTCACATGGTGATGAATGGGGTGATGATGGGTATGGGTGAATCAGACGAGATTTGATTTATAGAATGTGTTATCCTGTTGAGATTTATAAATTTCCTTATGATCCTGATGATACTCTTAGCAGCAGTGGAACAAAAAAGAAGAAAGCCCACTAGACTGATTCTCTTTTTTATTTTCCTAGCTTCTATTATTATTTTGCTTTTTCTTTTTACATACTGTATTACTTGGCTGAAATATTGTAAAACTTTTGTCTTAACATCTTCAATCATATCAGGTGAACTACTGTTGTTACTTTTTGATCGTTTATTTGGCTGTCTTTTTTTTTTTTTTAGTAAGAACGAATTGATGCCAACAATATGGGAAGACCTATAGCAAGAAATCAAACATTCAATTCCCAAAGACAAAAGATGGTTGTTTCTCATACTGATAATTGGAGCTTTGTTCTCGTGCATTTCAGCAGTCTTAAGCACCAAAAGTGCATATAGATGTGAAGCCGGAAAATTGACTAGCAACACAAAGGAGAACAGAATCCCAAAAACTTTGCCGGCATAGTCATTGTCATATTCTTTTCTTCTTCTTTCTCTTGGAGGGATCGAGGAGAGGTGTTGTTGATGAGATATTTATCCTGCAAAACTGCAAACTCTAATCCCAATAAGGATGAAGATGAGGTAAACATGATAAGAAAAAAGGAATGTAAATAACAACTCCATGATAAGGGAAAGAAAACTTGAAAGATCTCACTACAAACAAAGGGGTTGTTGCGGCCGTTAATTATGCGGCGGTTCAAACCACCACAATTACCTACACTGGCGGTCTCCAAAGCCGCCAGAATCTTAGCCGCCACAACTTAAAACCGCCGTAATGTGTTCAATAACCGCCTGATATGGCTATTTTATTGCTTATTGTGGCAGTTCAACTGCCATTATTGCTGTAAATTGCTAAAACTTTTTGTTGTTTAGTATGGCGGTTTATTGCATTTAATTGTGATCTCATATTCGCCATTTCTTGCTCCCACTGTGGAGGTGGAGCGCTACCGCTAGATGAACCCATAAAAAAATAACCAACTCGCCTTGATGTTTGCTTGAATGTTATGGTTGGAACTACACCCTTGCCTAACCCTCGAACACGGCCAGGGTACTCGGACCGAAGACCACCAAACGCATCATTTGGTAAATTTCAGCAAGAGTTTTTGGTCTTTGACGTCGAATTTCTTCGATTCTCTCCTACACGAGAGACTAAAAATAATTACAAAGGAGAATACTATAACTTGGACATTAATATGGAGTGGCTGCACTCACTGCATTTCAATAAACCATGTTGCAGGGTACAATGTAAATGTCCCATGTCATGTGTACTTTCAGTGAATCAAGCAGAAATGAGTAGCAGCAGTCGTAATAGTGGGAGCAGAGTTTAATTCATCTAAACCATTGTTATCTTTATCCTTTCTGTTCTGGCTTTGAAAGCTTTGAATTCAATATGCTTATTTGGGAAGTTCTGACACTTTACCTGTTATTATTTCTGCTCACTTGTCT